GCTTCACTGTTTTCTCACCTAGCTTAAACACAGGAGAAAACATCATACTTTCTTGTGAACATTAATACTTAGTGCCTGATTCATTAACCTTCAGAGAGAACATCTTATGAGATACATTTCTAATTTATTTTGATATAAGAACAATGAGTCCTATTATGCACAGGCTTATGTAGTTGGTCCCCATGTATTGTTAATAGAAAACCTAGGAATCTAGTATATTAATTCTGTATATTATGAAACATACAATTACAACTATTTAGCTCAATTTGTTGCTAGCACCACAAAAAATACTATAATTGTGTTTCAATGACTTCTCTTTTGAATCCCAGTAAAATAAGAAAAAGAGTGATCTTCCAAAAACTTCGATGCAATACTTGGAAAATTTCCAACAATTTTAGATAAACATTCTTCTTCTTTTTGTTTATTACTTAAATTTTTCATCTATTTTACATCCCAGCTCCAGTTTCCCCTCCCTCCTCTCCTCCTGTTCCCTTCCCCCACCTCCACTCTACCGCCATCCACTACTCCCTCTCCATTCTGAAAGGGGCAGGCCTCCCACGGGTGTCAACAAGGCATGACACATCAAACTGAGGTAGGACCAAGATCATCCCCTGCATCAAGGCTGGGAGAGGAAGCACAGTATGGGAAATGGTTCCCAAAAAAGCCAGCTCAAGCACCAAGGACAGGCCCTGATCCCACAGCCTGGGGCCCCACAAAACATATCAAGCTACACAACTGTCACATACATACAGAAGGCCTGGTTGGTCACATGCAGTCTCCCTAGTTGTGGGTCCAGACTCCATGAGCTCCCACCAGCCCAGCTCACCTATTTCTGTGGCCTCCCCTGTCATGACCTAGACTGTCCGCTTACTTACACAATTCCTCCTTACTCTCTTCAACAGGGCTTTTGGCAACTTGGCCCAGTTGTTGGTTGTGGGTCGCTGCATCTGCTAGAATACAAAGACATCCTTAAAAATGCATTGGTTTATTGGTAGCTGGATATTTACTTTAGTAAACATAGTTTCATCTTTCATAGTTGGAGTCTTAGCACTAATATAAAATGTGCAAACAGCTCAATTTATTTCTAAAAGAGAAAAAGAGTTCAGGAAAAGATTACTATTGATTTCATAGAATGATTGGATGAAAGAAAAACAACCTATAGGCATGTAAATATTGTAAATTTCCCCCCACTTTCAGTTCTCTTCAAATATAAATAAATATGAAGAGAACTGCTTAAAAGCTCCCTTTTGTATAGAAAAATGTCATGCTTTAAATAGTGATCCAATTGTGTAGAATGAAATATTTACTATAATTTTTTTTAAAAGATATATATATATATAATTAAACTAAGCATAATGAGTTCCAGGGCAGCTGAAGCTTTCTAATAAGATCCTGTTTCAAACAACAAAGCACAGTGCGTGCATGCGCGTGTGTGTGTTATTGTTTGTTATTTAGACATGTCTTACTATCATACTCACAATATAGGCTAAGCAGGCTTGAATTTATGATCGACCTGGTTCTTCTACTGTGCCCAGATATATTCATTTCTGAGAATAATTTGACAGGGTCCAGTGGCTGACACCTGAAACGGCTTTAAGAGATATTGCCCCTAACCTCCTGTTATTATTATTCAATTTTTTGCTGTTTTTTTTTAACACTGTGTATTTGGTATATGTGTGTTGATGATGTCTATGTAGCACATGTTTTAAAACTCATAGTTATCTTCTTGCTTCTGAGTCTGGAGTTTTGTATTGAAAGAATGTACAACCACACACATCTTGAAAAATAAGTTTTATGTTGCAAGTCATCTCTTCTTATGATATTTTGTTGTTGTGGCTTTTTAAAAACAAATCTAATTTCAGTCATTATTTTATGCATATGTGTTTTTTTCCATTATGCATGTCTTTGTACCCTATTCATACCTTGTGACCAGGGAGACCAGAAAATGGTTTTAGAACACCTATAACTGGAGTTACAGATAGTAGTAAGCTTCTGTAGGTACTGGGAATGGAAACTGGGTACTCAGGAAGATTATTCAGTACTTTTAAAGTAGTTTCCAATCCAAGTTTTCTGTTCTTGATTATATTTCCTGTGTAAGGCAGCCTAGTCAGGCTCAGATACTTGTTGATGATTAAAAAGTGAAATTCTCCTTCATGTGAGAGAATTATCTTCAGGCAGGAATGAGTTCCCTAAATACAACATCGACAGCCTTTAAACCATATACATACAAATAACAAAATGGACTCATCGGGATATAGTTCTATGTTTCAGTATACTTATTCATATATACTTAGCAAGGAAGAAGTTGGAAGGGAAGTATGTGTAAAGGAATGGAGGGAGAACAAAAAAGGGAAATTAATATAACATGTTATAATTTAAAATTTATAGAAAAAATTAATAAAAAAGAGGGGCTAGAGAGATGGCTCAGCAGATAAGAGCACTGGGTGTTGTTACAGAGGATCCAGGTTCCTGTCCCTGAACCCACATTCTAGCTAACCATATGCTATAACTCTAGTCCCAGGTGCGTCATGCCTTCTTCTGGCCACTGTGGGTACTGTTCACAGACATATTCAGAAAAAAATGCCACATAGCTAAAATTTACAAAAATGTTTCAAAAAGAATTCTCTACAGTGATGTCACAGCTCTGAGACAGACAGCAGTTAGGGCTAGTTAAAATGAACTCGTTCTGTTCTTGCATGGAAGCAGCTGTAACCTTCCTGTGAACCAGCCAGCTCAGAGGCAGCTTTGTTCTTAGGTTAGTAGAGCTCAATATAACCATTCATCTAAGAGCAGAGTATATAGTGCTGTTAAGTGACTTTTCCTTGACATTTTGTGTATTTGTGCTCTCTATCATTTGTATCTGTTACAATTTTGGTACTGGTACAGTTATCTTTTAGATCAAACGTAAAGGTTGACATGTAGCATAGGCTCCAAAGTACTCTACTTGCACAGTAATTTCCTTGGTTTTCAGCTGAGACCTTTTGGTACAAGATGAACATGCCAGAGGAATTTTTCCCATTATTCCCATACTTTGAGGTAAGAAGATCCCCAAGTGTCCTTGCTTTTACATTGTGATCCTGTTCAGAGCTGGATTTGCTAACTGAGGATGCTTAGGAATAGGCAGAGCTCTACGTGAATGTGTCCAGACTCCCTAAGTAAAAGCCCCATGAATCCTTTGTTTAAGAAAAACATTGTTTTGGAAATGACTCTCATGTTCTCCCTGCCTCCTGCAGGTAGGAAATCTTTCTTAGCTCTCTGTCTTGGCTATAGTGAGGACTCTTCTTGGTAGACAAACTGCTTAACTCTGGAATTAACTAAAACACAAATAGTTGGGTACACTGTGAGGAAATTCTTAAATGGTTTTGAAATTAAAGACCCATCTTTAATCTGGATTATTTGAGGTGATGAGATCTACCTTCAGTGGCAGTGCATACTTTTAATCCCAGAACTCAGGAGGCAGAGGCAGTTGACTTTTCTGCGTTTGAGGCTAGCCTGGTGCACAGAATGAGTTCCAGGACTACACAGATAAACCCTGTCTCAAAGACACAGAAAAACAATCAAGCAAAGGATAAGATCCACCTGTAATCTGAATTGCATCTTCTGATAGCAATTTGCATATGTAAAGGGTATTGAGGAAGGATGTTCTCTGTCTTTGCCTGTTGCCCTAACTCTGACCAACAAGTTCATTCCTTTACTGTCTCTCATTAGAGCAAACTTCTTTGGAATTTTAGTGTATACTGAAGACCATCTGAGACATCCAGCCTCATGGACTCAACAACTACTGGATTCTTTAAATTTTAATAGGTAGACAGCCCTTGTTGGACTTCCTGGACTACAGCTTGTGAGACATTCCAGTTTCTACGTACATGGGCAGATTGACCTTTACCAGACCTGTTGGTGTAGAGAACCTTGAATAATTCAGCTGTGTGTTTTTTTTTCCTTCTTCACCTGCCCACTGAGGAAGGTGTGCTGGTTAACAATAGTGTGCATAAAGAAATTATTGCTTATGTCATTTCTTAAGCATTTATGCTCTTAATGCTTAAAAGAAGGCTAGCATTGTTTGCACAAAAAATTGGTGATTTCCCTCCCCTGAATAGTAAATGAAATTACTTCTGTTGAGTAAACTTTTTATGTCATCTTATAATAAAAACTGAAAAATCCCTTTGTTCTATTAATTAAAAATTTTCTATATGCACCCTTGATAACAGATTTTGAAGAAATCATGTAAGATGATAAAGCATTTGAATGGTACAATAGATGTAAAAATCAGTTTAAAAGAAACGTTTGTTTTTACATTAAATGTTTATTTGAAATTAAATGATTTTGTACATAAAGTTTAATAATAATAATAATAATAATACATTCTTCCTTGCTCCATTATTCTCTAAGTATTCATCTTACCATGAAGACTACTCTTTTTATTGTTCATTAGTCAAGAGGTTGCCCTGAATTCTGGAAGAAAACTTCGAATGCAATGGAGCCATCATCCAGCCTGTGGGAGACAGAGCTATCATTATGTTTTCTTACCTGGTTCCTGCATTTTTCTTCTGGTTCGCTGAAGTACCTGTGACTCACAGGTAAAAAGTACCTTCAGTTCACCTGACCTAAGCGTGAAGCCAGAGAACAAACATTTCTTTTGTGTCTTTAAGTTTCTCTTTAAAACTATGAATATGTTGGGCACCCTTCCACCCATGGAACAGGAAACCTCTCCACTCCACATTGAGGAAAGGGCTGTGCAAGCTAGTCATAAAGTGTCCAGGAGGAAGAACGGGGAGTGCCTACAGAGTTCAGGAAGATAACAGGGTCAGCATTTGGAGGCAGGTGAAAGTGTTAAATACATATCTCTGCAAATCTGGAAAAGGTCTGGATCTGGGGTAGAAGGCAAGGTCAGGAACCGTTGTGCTGTACCTTTAAGCACACTCTAGTCCTAAGAGAGGTGCTCTTATCACCAGCCAATCAGGACCTCCAGGCCGAACTGTCAGTCAGAAGTGGTGCAGGGCACTTCCGGGAGCCTGGCTGCTCGCTTGGCTTTGCAGAGCAGCAGGCGCTGGTGTTTTCGTGTGGGTGTGCTGTACTGCGAGTGCAGGGAGCTGTGAGGGGACCATGGGCGAGCTGGGAGGCCACGACATGGTGAGCGAGGGGCTGCTGTCCCCGGATGAGAAACAGTGGATGGGGAGGTGCGGGAGCTCGTGTGGCGGGACTCCCTGGGACTGGGTGGGAATCTAGCCAGATTCCCTGTCCAGCGAGTTCCCAAGCGGTCGGTGCAACTCCCTGGACCCAGGCACAGGCGTTTGAATAACTTTGCTCTGTGGGCTGCATCTGCTCAGAGCATTAGGAGCAGGGAACGGTGTGCAGAAACATTTGTAGTGAGCAACAACGTGCTTTTGGTGCATCCTTGCAAGGCAGGTTGCTAGACTTGGAGAGGCCTACATTCTCCAGTGTCTTCCAGACTTTCAAGCACTTTGCATTTAACCTTTACATATAAGATCCTTTTTCATTTAATTTTGTGGAGTCTGTAAAAGGCATCTGTTGTGTTGGGTAGCACTCCACTACTTAGCTGTGATGCAAAAGAGTAGAATTGGTGATATACAGAATTTACTAATGCTTAGTAGATATGTCTCACAAAGTAGAATTTAGCTTACGAGAGACTGCTTCTAAAACACCCCAGAGATAAGTTTATGTAAACCAGGCCTGGGAGAGATAAGGGTGCTAGGATACACATTTTTTTTTCACCAGGATTGTCCAGACATTTAGCTCCAAACCATTACAAAGAAGACATCCCTAAATTACAACCAGCCACTTGTCCCATCCCTGTATGAAAGAACGGTTCTCTAACAGGCTGCTTAAAGAGGTGTCATAGGGTCACAATCTACCATAAGGCCTTAAAGTTCCAGTTTTCTTCTTGAGAAAAACATAGTTCTGAGAGATGGGCAGTATGACACCAGGTGACAAGTATTTGAAAAGTAAAACATTGTTAAGGACTGGCATGGTCAAGTGAGGTTTTTATATAGGCCCTCAGTCAGGGAGGAGGAACTTTCTTGGAAGAGCGAGTTACAGCTTGGGAGATTTCCCTAAGGTCTTGATGTATTGAGAATAAAACAGCTCCTTCTCTAAAATCAGGAATATAGAGCTGGTAATGGTCTGGTCCAGGGCCTGTGTAGAAGGGTTGCTTCTGATCCTGAGAACCCAACCTTTCCCACCACATGGAGCTATGGTTATCAGTCCCAAGGCCACTGTGGGCTTAGTGTTGTTCTTGAGGTACCCCGTGTGCCCTTTGTGCAACATTCTTTGATTAGCCTTCTCCTGAATTTGTCCCATAGTGTGATAGTTTCTGCTGACTTCATAGACATTTCCCCATTTCCTTCCATTCCCCCCTGGAAGTAGTATACAAGAAGCTATTCTTCTTAAGAGGCTTACTTGGCATGAGACATAGCTTGTGCAAGACTTCCCACCCCAGCTTTTATCTTTCTATCTTCTGCTTGTCCTGTCTTTCTCATTCCCTGGCACCTTCACCTCAGGACTCTGTCTCTGAAGAATGACATGCTGTGTCAGGTCACTGGTATACTTCAGAAGTAATTCTGGTAATCTTTGGTGTGTAACTCTCCCATCTGCCTAAGTGGCTAGACTTCCAGTCTCCTTTCCCTATTTAAATTGTTCAAAGTGTAACCTGGAGCATGAACCTATAAGAAACTTAAAGATAACACCATGTGTGGAATGCAAAAATCTGTCTAGACTGGCTCCTCCTTGAGCATTAGCCAGAAATGGATGCATGCTATTTTTAAAGAGATTTTTCTTCATTAATCTCCTAAATGTGTGAAGTGATTTCTCCCTGGGAAAGCATATTAATTCTACAGCTACATTTCCATCTTTTTAGTAAAATGTTTCTGAGACAAGCTCACTTCTATTGAATAAGGTGGCCTTCATTTTAAACTGTTGCACTCCAGGGCAATGACCTTGTTGTCCTCTGTATTCCATCTCCAAAATTCTTAAATGACTGTATCATCTTAGAATTTTAAAATTAAACTCATGTAACTGACTGCCCATTGCAGTTACAGGAAAAAGATTTGCATGTGGAGCATGGCTTCTGCCTTCAGACCAGAGTAGGAGGCATAGCTGCTGGAGTCATCATGTGAAAAATGTAGGAGTTAATTTGTAATTTCCCAGCGCTTATTAAATTCATGTCATGTGAATGACAACAGACCAGACTGGTGGGTGTACAATTTGAGAAAGTTACCTTGTGCCAATGAATACTGAATTTCCAATTAGGCAATTATGTTCAATGCTGCTTGTAACATTTAGGTCAGCTTAGAGGTTTGAGGAACAGGTTCTTGACTGTAATTCTGTGTGTCAGCAGCCAAAAATGTGCATATGGGTAAGATCAATCAGTCGCTTATTAATGGTCTTCCATCTATTAGAGAAGGTCCTGCTGTTTTCAAAGTCAATAATGCTAAGGTTATTAATCTTAAAAATACAGTATTTTTATCATATAAAAGTCTCTTATAGGTCTCATTTTTTAATGCTTGCTTTATGCACATTGATGCTCTTATTTGTTTCTGTTCTCTAATGTATATACGTCATTACTAGTTTTATTCCTTTTCTGTCAAATGCTATTGATTATTTATTTCTGCTTAGAGCAATGTGAGCTTGCTACATGCTATGGAATTGAGAACACCTAATCCTGCCTCCGCTGCCCAGTGCTGGGAAGACAGTTCTGCAATTCCTTCCAATCTGGAAAAGGAAAAGGTTTATTTGGCTTACAGGTGCAGTTCACAGTTCAAGTCATACAGGAACTCAAGGCAGAAGTCTAGAAACAGGAACTCAAATAGAGACCCTGGAGGAATACTGCTTACTGGTTTGTTCTTCCTGGCTTCTTCAGTTTTCTTTGTTCCTTTCTTTCCTTTTTTAATTGAAAATAGATTTTCATACAATATATTTTGATTATGATTTCCCTGTCTCTAATTCTTCCGGATCTTCCCCTCCCATCCAAATTTACATACTCTCTCTCATTAGAAAAGCAAAACACATCTAAAAATTCTGTTTGCTTTCTTACACTCTGGTGTACCACCTGCTCAGAAATAGTACAGCTCTACAATGGGCTGGGCCCTCCCTTGTAAATCATTAATCAAGAAAATACCTTATAATTGAAGTTCCTCTTCCCAAATAATCTCAGTTTATGTCATGTTGAATAAAAGCCAACCAGGGCAAGGACCATGAGTTAGGAGCCTGCCTAGGCTATATAGTGAAAATAAAATCATATTACCTAACTAACTAAATAATTAATTAAACCTTCACAGTTAGTTTATCTTTTAGCATTATTCTTTTCAAATAATTTGTTCCTTTCCCCAAGACTTTGGAATATTTGTTTATGAAAGCATCTAGAACGTGGCTTTTCTTAAGTTTGACTTTCAACCAAGCTTGATGATTTTGTTCAAAGGTATAAGACAGGGAAGGATGCCTTGGATAAGGATAGGATCTGCTCCAGGTATCATACACTTTGATCTTTATTCCTTAATCAAATCTCAGGATGACACCTGAGGAATGACACCCGAAGTTATCCTCCGGCCCCCTCATGAACACATGTACACATATATACATGTTTACACATATACACATGTACATACCCCATACACACATGTACACATTCCTATTAATATATGTGCAAAATAAAGAGAACACTTAGAGATTAGGAATAGTGAGAAGTGAAAGTGTCTAGGAATTCATTAATATGACTGATTTTTGTTGCTAGAGGGTAAGCTGAATTTTGGAACTTCAGTGAGAGATGTAGGCAGGAGGAAGGGAGGCTTCAGCTGGTGATCTGTTGCAGCACTAGAAATGAGCCTTATGAGATTTGGGGTGGGGAGAACAGAGCATACCTCTGCATCTTACACTCTTCCTGCCACATTTTCCACAATGATCCCCAAGACTTAGTAGGGGATTGAGCTATATATGTTACTTTAAGACTTTGAATTCCAAGTCACTTATTTTTTACACTTTGGCCAGATAAATATCACATGTCAATCACAATCTACTTGAATTAGAAGCATCTAAGTTGAGGGATGGGAACTTCACTGATCTATGGATATAATGGTAAGTTATTTTAAGTCAGTTTAATTCTATGTCCACTTAGCAGCATAATAGTCATGCATTCTCCCCGAGCCCTATGACCTGTCTGTCCTTAAATTCTTATTCTGATAATGGTGTCAGATTTTTTTTTTCATCCTGTAGAGAGGCACTTGGATATAATCGGGAAGTGGTTGCTTATTCCCATTATATTTGTGCATAGCTCTTGCCAGGTCAGTTATTATTGTAGCTTGGAATGTTTGTAGTTGGGCATGACTGATGATTACCTGCCTCCTTCAGTATCTTGCACAGCACCTTCCAGCACTGTGAAAGCAAGTCAATATGGATAAAGCATCTACTTCTTTACCACTTTGATTTTGCCATGCTGCATGACTCAAGCAATAGGGTCCAACTGTCAAGTTCTTGAGGATGACTAAGAGCAGTAGTAATACAGTGTAATGTTTGAGGGATTTGGGGGACCTAATTGGCAAGAACTCCAAAGAAGTAACTTATACATGGCACAGAATTTAATTTGTTTCCCACTGGTGTCTAGTAGGAGCATTGTTGTTCTGTTTCAGAATAACTCCTTATTAATCCTGTATCTCTCTCTCCTCTCTTTATATTCCCCTTTCTAATGTGCATGTTTGTGTCTCTCTGTGTGTGAGTATATGTAATATTTGTGATAGTAAAGTGTAGTAAATGTCTTTTTCAAAAGGTCTTTTGTTTTATTTATCTCTTTCCCTTCTCACTTCCCTACCCTACCTTCTCCTGCCCATTCCAGCTTAACCCTCCTCAGTCCATTTTCCCCTTTGTATCTGTGCATTTGATTTCCCCTCTCTCCATAGCCATTCCCATGGCATTTTATTAATTTCATGAACTCTATGGGTATTACAAATTCAGGTTTAAGATTTATTTGTACAGCCTGAAAGAAATGTTCTGAGTATTCCTTGGTGTGCTCTAATTCAAATCTCTGGTCTCTGGAGCACATGGTCATAGCCTGTTTAACTTTTAATATAATTTTTGGGGATTATAATTGCATCATTTCTACCATCTCTTCCCTGCCTCCAAGT